GGGGAGAGGGGGTCATCCAAACTGCTTGATGTTAGGTGATATTAGTGAAAGTGACAGCAAATTAAACAGTGACAGGTGATGAAGATGATATGACCAGTTTTCACTCAGTAGGAAGGTGGTAACTGTTGATGAAGAAGGAAAATGTAAAGTGATGAACAGGGTGAGACCCTAGCATTTATGTGGAAGACGTATATACCCAGTCTGTTTTACTTTCTACAGAGGAGATTAAAAATTTGAAGAAACTGGTTACGTGCCTTGGCAATTAAATAATTTCCTTCTTGAATACACTATTTGTCTACAAATCTTAGAGACTGTAGTTCAATTTGACTTCTTTTTCTGCTAAGATTTTTGTAGGATCTCAATAGGGCATGTTTGGTGGTTGTAAAAAAATTGGCTTGCTTTTTTCACTGAAATAGATTGTTGTCTGTTCTAGTGACAGCCACCTGCCTGTCCCTTTGTGATCCTGACACCAGTATTTGGATTTTTCACTAATATTCGTACTCATGGTTAATTGCAAGTGAGAAATATTTCAGACCCCAAATTAACGTCTGGATAAAAAACATACCTTAAAATGTATGTGAATTACTAATGTTTGCATTACGGTGTGGATGAAGTGAATGTGAGGCTCTGGTTTATGTTAGTGGGCTTTGGATCAGGTCTACGTGCCTGTATTAATATCAGGAAATTGTACCTGTGCCAGGACTCTCTCGGCTGAGCTGCAGAAGGGAGACTGACACATTAGAGACTGCAGCGAAGTGAACCACAGACCTGTAGTCGGTTTAATCCTAGTTAGTCTCACCTACTTGCCTTACTTGCCTTATGCGCATCCATTTGCCTTTGGAGACAGGCTAGTGCTGAAGTGTAAGTGGGGAGGTGTTGAGTATCCAAGAGGGAGGGAGGCCTGGAGCTCAGGTTACGGTCAAAGGCAGCACCGTTGTCCTAAAAGGACTGCTGTGGGGTCAGGACAGTCCTTGGGAGCCTTCTTAAAGACACGTATGGCCTGGCTGGTAAAATCCATGAGAGCTGCGGTGGCATAGGTGATAGCCCATTTCTTGGCCCAGTTATAGTACTTGTTGAGAGAAATGTAATTTATGAAGAGCATTTAATGGCCTTTCATATGGGCAACCGGCTTTCCAACAGCTGTAGATGAAGAAGGAGTGCCAAGTACCATGTGCGGGTACTCCCGTTCCACCGCCAGCCAGTGTCCTGGTCAGAGGTACTAGTTGGGATGTTCTCCTTTGTGAACTGCCAGCCCCTCCTGATCTATGTCCTTAGGTGACACATAGTCCCAATACCTCCAGCTCCTTCCCCACCTCCTGCCCTCTCTTGCTCCAGAACTTCAGTTTCTCAAAATCCCCTACTTCAAAGCCTTTTGAACGTCCAAACTACTCTTCTTTCCTGGCCAGTCTGCCTCTTAGGCTCCTCCTTGCTCTCAGGCCACTCTGCCAGACAGGGCTCTTCCCCAGATCCAGCCTACCTGAGCTTCACCTCTGCCTGTCCCTTCTCTTGAATCCTCTGCTACTGTGGCCCCTGGCCCCTCAGTGCCCCTTCCACCAGGCTCCCTACCTCACACACGCCAATGCTGACTGCTTCAGACCTCTCAGCGTGGATCTCCAGAGGCTGCTGGAGCTGGTTGGGCTGTGCTGCTCCTTGGTTTTCCGTCACCCTGCCCCTTTTAGCCCTTGAAGCAGCTTCAGGTATCTGCATCTCCAAACTCTTTTTGCAAGAGGGGAAATCTTTCACTGGATTTCAAGCCACCTTGTTCTAGAGGGAAAATTAAGTTAAAAAAATAGTCTTACTAAGCCACTGAAACTGAGGGCAAAGTGCCTGCGAAAATGGAAACTTCCTCCTCAAATGCTGTATTTTAGCCCCTTTCCAGCACCTGCAACAGTCTGTGCAGCTCATTTACAAATCCTGTGGGTCCGTAAAAGAATGGAGCTGTCTCCCATGAGGTCCTGTGCTGCTCTTGCCCATGCTTTGGCAACACAATCCAGGACTGTCCTGTCAGGGAGAACGTAGGTCACAGGTGGTGCAGAGCCTCCTAGATAAGGAAGTTCCCTCTCAAACAAAAGTCCTCCTGGTATGATTTATACTTAGGGTGTACCTTTTACAAATGGAGTGCTGTAGGATCATGGTGAGCATCACACACACCTGTCTTGGCTGCCTACGTGTCCTGTCTGAGGCTTTTCTGTTCACTCTTTGCCTGATGCGCATCCCTTTCATGTGGAAAGGGGGAGATAGAAAGGAGAGAGTCTTTGAAGGCACGTTGTGGCCTGGGGTCACTATAGTTTTTTCCTTATAGCAGATTAATACAGAGGTTCTGAGTCTGTAACTGCTGAGCAGTAAATGGAACAGAGCTGCAAAGGTGTAATTGTTTGGATTTGTACTTGAAGAGAAAATACAGCGAGCTTTGGGGACAAGGAGAGCGAGGAGAGCAAATGTAGAACACAATAGAAACAGAAAATAGTTTGCTAGGAAAAAAGCTTTGGTTCTGTTAAACTCGCGTTACGGAAAAAATCCTCATAATCTGTAAAAACACCATTTTATCTTTTCAAACAACTCCTGTGTTTTAAAAATCAGACCAGTTTTCTAAATCAGAGCAAAGTTTGTCATTATCCTTTGCAAAGTATGGCCTGAAAAAGATCAAGCAGGGAAGTTAATAAGGAATCCTGAATGAAAGTTTTGAGCTGGGCTCTACCGCTCTGTAAACATCTCTGTTGTTGATCTTGTTGAAACAGATCCTGTCTGGTATTACCGGTTTACCAAAGGACCATCTAAAGAAATTAAAGAATATGGGAAGTTGAAATCCATTAGTAGATACTTCCTGGCATCATTTTTCATATTTGCTGCCTTCCTGAAATTTTCTTTAAAGACCGTCATGCCTAGTACTTAGTAGTCAACACTTCTTGCTGTATTTTTGGAAAGCAGACAATAAACTTTGAGCAAGTATTATCAGCTGCCAAGTTCAATGGAAACAGGCAGTTTGCACTGAAGCTGGAAGTAAATAGAAGTTGATGCCACAGTTGATTCTTCCTATCTTCCCTGACTGCTGCCTCCTTTTAGAAAAAAAAAAAAAAAAGCGGTGGAAAAGGTAACATGTCATTGCTTGGGTGAGACAGCAGCAAATTGTGCTTCTTTTCCTCCTCAGCTTCCTAAGGAAAAGGAGACTCAGCTGGGGAGAACACAGCCTGATGCTGAAACCTCCTGTCATCATGGACATCCGATATAGAATCAAATAAAAAAAGGACCTTCTTGACTTTTCACAGTTTGAAAATCAAAAAGAAGAGTTGATTGAAGTTTCCTAGGGGGAAAATGTGAATTTGAGCACCCTGAAACATTCTAAAAACATTTCCATTTTACCACCTCTGTCTAAAACAAACAAAAAAAATGAGGTGAAGAAGGGAAAGCAAATTGCAAAAGCATCTAGCTTTGGCATTTTCTTTAGCTTTATTTTTAAAAATCTTCCAGCTAAAAAAATACACTAACTCTTCAAGATTTACTTAGACACCATTCTAAACTAATAATGGCAGTGGGACATGGATTCATAAAGAAATATCGGGTATTCAGAGCTCCAAACAGGTTCTAAGTTATTTTAACATAGGGGATGGAAAACTGTCTGGCAGCTGTAGAAATAAAGGAAACTTTGCAACAGTTAAGTGTGGCCTGTCAGACAAAAGATTCATTTACCCTTAGACTTCTGCTTTTAAGATAGAGACAAAAAGGAAAGATTGTTGTTGGAGCAAACAGTGACTCTCCTTTTTTTCTATGCATTTATTTAAAAAAAAAAAATCATTGGACAAAAATAAAAAAAATTTGTAGTAGATTCAGAGGACAAAAACAACAATCAATGTCTGCAGCAAATCATTCCCAACTTAGTATTTATGATCCTAAACTTCAGTCTGTCAGTGGTCAGCAACATGTATTAAATGAGCAGGAGAGCGGGTGTCTCTTGGGCATCACCAGACCTCTTCAGTGAACATTACGGTGAGCTCTGCTGCAATGAAAACTTGTACTCGGGGCCTTCTGCTAAGCATGCCCACACTGAGAATGAAAAGATGAAACCCAAAATCTTCATGACACTAAAGTGAATGATGAGACTGGTTTTCAGGTACAGCATGAATAGAAAGTTCTTTCACATTCTTTCAAGTGTGCCTTGGGCAATAGGTGTGTCTTAGAAGAGTCAGAAAAATCCATTCATAAAGCAACGTTCATACATTCAGCATATTTTTGAACGTATTTTGAACCTAAGAACTAAATAATTTCTTGGTCATAATTTGCTAGAGACCTCAGTATGCTTTAGGTTTTGACAAAATCAAGATACTCCTTTAGGTCTGTACTTTGCCCATAGG